CAGAGCCCGAGGCTGGAGTTCCAAGGATAGCAGCAGCAGAGATGCTTGCTCGGCAATTCTCATGCCCACCCAGCCACTCAGGATTAAACCAAAATGCAGCGCATAGCGCTCCCAGGTACCTCAAAATGTTTTTTTCCTTGTTGTTACGGGGACGGGGAAAAAGCAGGAGCGACTCAGATGCTGTTGTTGGAGACGGCACTAGCAAGAGAAGCACCAGCACCAGTGGGAACCATAGAAGCTACAGAGGCCTGAGAAGCAGCTAAAACGCTGCCGGACATCCACACTGACTCTGCCCACCTGCTGACCTGGGTAAGGGAGGGGTAAGGGTGCTCCACCATGATTGGCTGTTAGGAGCGACTGATGGTGAGGTGTAGCTGCTCATGGGGCACTCCTGATGACAAGTTCCCTCCCCACCTTCCCCCCAATTTCGCATGTTTTAAACTAGGCCTAAATTGGGGGGGGAGGGGCTTAATTTCATTTTATGCCTAGAAAACATGCTGGGTCTTCCTTCCTGGGGCGTATTGTTGGAGAAACACGGTACATGACAATTAGCTTTTTAAATGTTTTCTATTTGAGAAGATAATAGATTTACACTTTGCTTTTCTGGCAGCAGGCTTTGGAAAAAAAACACATTGTAAACCAAATATTAAAAAAATCTAATGGAATTAGTTGGTTTTGTCTTACAAAATATACTTTAGTCCCATTGCACTCCAGTCTGGTTTAGTTCCCAATAGTCATATGTATTATAAAATATACAGAAATCTTTGCTAGAAAAAGGGTATATTTCCAATAGTAGTTTTAATTACCAAGGAATGTGTTTATCATCCTATCTGGTTTTGCCTTAAGTGCATTCAGATGCTTGAGGAAATATATGGCTCTGCAGGATTGTCTCCAGAACATCTCCAGAAGAAAATGTTACTATCTCTCTGACTCAGCTAAAAGAAGGAGGTTCAATAGATTCCTGATCTTTCTGGTGATAAATGTGTTTTTCACAAGGCAAAAGAAGAAACATGAAAGCCATCTATCCTGGATGTAATCCTGACCAAGAGAACCGATTTCAAAGGTTAGTTATATAATATTAGACTAAAATTGGACAGAGTTTAAAGAATACAGGCAAAAAAGGCTAGCATAGATCAATAAGTGAGCAGAAAAAAAATTAAACTACAGGAAGAAATTATCTCTATAGAAGGAAAAATGGGAAATGCTTTAGAATGCCTATATTGTGATGATAATAATGTTATAATAATTCATTTCTCCAAGATGCTATGAAGCAAAAAACAAAATTATAAAAAATAAGGATAAATGCAAACTAATAGCTTACACTTGAATGATGGAACTTGGAGGACTAAAGCTCAAAATGCAACCTAGAAGAACATGTTTTGTTTTGTTTTAGCATTTGTCCAAAGGAAAAGAAGAGTCAAAATGGCTGCTGGTCTGTTCTGCAGGATGGCCAGGAACTAATAATGGAGCATAAGGAGAAGTTACTGAGTACCTTCTTACTAGTGCTTACCTTCTCTCAAAATAGTTACAAATAAGTGGAGATGATGCAATTCAGGAATAATAAAGGCAAATGGAACTTTGCTGCCTTAAACAAAACAATTTCGCATCTTTATTGGGTTAGAAAGTAGAACAAATTGTCAAATAGCATAGCTATGAAAACATAGAAGAATGCTACTATAGTCAGGAAACAGCATGTCAAGAACAACTTTCAGTCAGACTAACCATATCTCTTATTACAATAGAGACATGTTTTGATAGATCACTGTGGATGTAGTGCCTCTTCATCTCAATAAAGCTTCTAATAAGATCTCTTGTGTTACCCTTGAAACAAGATGGATTAATAGGTATAGTATTCCAGTCCAGTAAAGTTGAATAACTACAAATGTTGCTTTTGATAGTCATGCATTTCCTAGAGGAAAGGAGAGATTTTCCAAGTCTTTGTCCTTGCCTACTGCTATTCATCAACTTTATACATTGACTAGTTGATGGGATGTGTGATTGCTTGGAATAAGAACTCAGGCTGAATCAATTTTGAAACTTCTTTTATGTTTACATCTAAATATAGCATTGTATATTTTTCTTCAGTGCCTCTATATATGTTCTTTTGGTGTATCTCTCATAACAATACATTTTTTTAATTTTGATGATGATGATGGAAATCTACATCTACTAATTACAGACTTCATACATTGAAAGGAGGCAGCATAATCAAAGTATTTTCTTATCTCTCTTTATACTACAGTGAAGTGTTTTTTAGAATACCAGTTACAGCCTTGGCATAAGTTCTTGATTAAAGCTGCTCTATTATATTTCAAGGAATGGGTTTATAATGTTTTCACATCAGGGAAAATACCATGTCTCCCCTTAGTTATCTTGTTCAGCAGTTGTAAAGCAATTTTTTCCCCTCTGTTTAATATCTTCTATAGTGTGTGTACATGCTCAAACTATCTTTGATCTATATTCCTTATAAGATCTATGTACTGTAACCTTGTGGGTCTTGCTCTTGGCCTGTTCATGTTCAAGTCACTTAGTGATTTGCTGTAATATGCTAGCTTTAGGCTAATAAACAATCATTTGGACCAGCTCCCGTTGTTTGTTTCTTTAGTGAGTTGCTTTGCCAAAACATGGGCTTATCAGATTGGCAGATGGAGCCAAGCTAGGCAGATGGGGCAATACCTTGGAGGACAATATCTCAATCCAAAATGACATTGAAAAGGCATAAGCATTCAATCCTATCCAAAGGATGATAGTCCATTCTGACAAGGCTAAGGTCCTACACCTAATATATAACCATAGGAATAGGAGATAATAATAGGAATCTCCCCAGACTAGTTGTTTTTCTTTGGGAACAAATAAGATTCCATGGAACTTGGGACAGGTCAGTCCTGGATCTCTTGTGGTTGCACAATGACTCAAGACTAATTCCTTACTTGATCCCTCCTCCCTGTCTGGCTGGATGTTTCTCAACACCACCAGAGTCAACTGATGGGCTGTGAGATGCAGAGGTTTAAAGGCCAATGAAAAATAGGTCTGTATTAAGTTTTGAATCTATATTGCATGTTGTTCCATATTGTATACTGTGCCCTGATTAGTGTGAAATAGGAGTATAGGGTGGGACCACATTTTAAAAGGAACATGGAGAAGCTGTCAAGATGATAATAAGTCTGGAATAAGTCTGGAAATTAAATCCTATGAGGAAAAGTTAAAAGACTAGGCATATTTACCTTATAAAAATAAGCCTAATAGAAAATGTACTTAAGGGATATGTGAAATATTTCACATACAAAAAAGGGTGGATCTGCTCCCTTTTGAAAATGAGCAAGACTAGTGGATTGAATTGTGGGTGAGGAGGACATCCTAGCAGAATATGATTATGCTAAATGTTATTTAGCAGATTAAGAATCTACCTACAGTGTATAACAATTCATTTTCAAATAGGAGTGAATGGTCACCTCTGCTTGATGTTTGGAATACGTTTGGCTGTGTTCCCATATACAAATAGAAATGTAGCAATGGTGAATGCAAAGCCTACAGGGGATTGTGTTTAAAGGAGTACAAGAGGTGAAAATAAGCAAAATTTGGAACTGCAGTGTAGCCTCCCAAATTTTGTCCTTGACCAAGTCATCAAAAACTGTGTGAACATAGAATTTGTTTATGATAGTCATTTTAGAAAAAGCAGATGGTATAGTGCATAGGCTTGATTTATAAGATATTTTCAGCATATATAGAGTTGAAATTTGGTTGCTAAATATGGATTATAAATATTTATAAATAATGTACTTTTTCTCACCTGTGGGGGGAATCTGACAAGCACTATTCAGAATGAAATTTCTTAAAGATTTAACTTACTAAAAAAGATGAAACTGACCTATAGAGTAAAATGAAGTAAACAAGTCTGGATAATTTTTGTGAACTTGTAATTTGTTTGTTTTTGTTTTTAGAATAGTCCATGTGCATTGTCTATTGATGGAGGACACTAAAATTATATTTCAAGACCAAGCATTCTTTTTCTGACTTCTAATTATGTGTCAGAAAAAAAATCTAAAAATATTGGTTCTGAAAGGTAGATTTATTTTTGTTGTTTTACAAAACCAAGTATATTGCCATCATACAGTACAATTTGAAATGCTTTTCTTACAAAGCAAAACCCAAAGCAAGAAAGAAAAACAACCCAGGCCAATATTTTATTAATAATTCTCAGAAGTTTAGACATTCTTCCCAAACACTGTTGTTTTCCGAGTAGCTTTAAAAAAATGTTTTTATGCAGGAGTATCAAATTCGATTTCATTGAGGGCCACATCAGGATTTTGTTTGACCTCAGGGGGCTGGATTGGGCATGGCCAGGATGGGAGCGGCCAGCTCAACATCGCTCGTGTCAGAAGGTATCTGTGGTGGCCTGAGCGATCTGCCAGAGAAAATGGGCTCCCGAGCTCCATTTTTGGCTCTGACAGCCTCCTGCAACCCTTGCCAGCAAAATAGACAGCCCTCCCAAGCTCCATTTTTGCTGGCAGAGGCACTTCAGGCCAGATCTAAGTACCCTGTGGGCCAGATCTAGGCCTCGGGCCTTGAGTTTGACACCCGTGTTTTAATGTATGTTTTAGATTTTAATGAATGTTTTAGAAATGTTAAGCGCTACAATGCAAATACAAACTGATTTTTTTTTTAATTGGAAGGAAACAATCCATTCATCAATTTTTAAAATTGGAAGAAAATACTTGGATGCTTATAAGTTACTAATTATATATACATAGGACAGGGGTGTCAAACTCAAGGCTAGCGGGCTGGATGCATCACGCGTAGGCCACACCCACCCCAGCTCTGTGAAGGGAAAAATGTCACGAAACATCATGTGACGACAATATGATGCCATGCATTTGACACCTGTGCCATAGGAGATATAAAAGTTTATTTGAAAAAAAAAGTAATATTGACATTGTTAAGTCTGGATTCATTATATTTTCCATTTCATAATTGGTTTCAAATCTAAAATGAGATGCCCGTGAAAATCTCATTGCATTATGAAATTTCTTCCCATTTATAACAGCGATTCTGAATATAATGCACACTATCTGCATTGCTACAGAATAAATGACTAAATAATCAAATCAGGATAAGATCAAACCCACACATGGAAAAGACATCTGATTGCAGAAAACAGTTTAGCCAGTTCAGTAGGCAGGAGCAGCCAAATGAGTAAGGCTAGCAAGGAAGCATTTGATAGACACTTCTCAGTCTCTGTAACATCATGGCAAATGGTATATGACATATGAAGAGAGAGTCCACAGCATATCAATAGACAAGTTAAAGTTTTACTATCGTTATTTTTTCCTCCTACAGAAGTTATATTCATTTAATAACTTGCCCTGCTTCATTGCTTAATAGATCAATGGCTCAACAGCATAGATCCAGAGGAAGTACCACCTATATACAACATGAGTGTAAAACCTTAGATCTTCATGACTCAAGACAGCAACTGTAGTGGAGAGTCTATTGACATGTTGATCGTATCATTCTGTTATTGAGAGGCTGAAGAGGCCGCCAGTTGTCCTGTAAAGGACAGTGAGGATCTTCTGCGCTATTGCTAGAAAGGCTACGCAGCTTTAACATCTATGGAGAAAAAACAAAGACGTTTCTAAGATCAATTTAGTTACAAATGATCTAAAAACATTCAAAAGATACTAGAATGATAATTTCCTTTAAAAAACTGCCAGAGTTTGTTCAAGAAAAAAATGCTATACAACCATTGTTGTATTTGTTCTGTAAAGTTCTGCTTAGCTTATTTTCTAGCAAACCTCTCACCCAAGTAGAAACAAACTCTTGCTTGTTGTATTCAATTGTTGTAAACAATTTACATATTTGATGCAATTTTTAAATATTCTATAGCTATCCCGTGGTCTACTCTGGGTTATATTCTTCTCATGTAATTTCAGGACCTACCACAGTTCAAATAGCAATTCTTCCCAAACACTGAAACAACTTTTGCTTAATATAGATAACACCCTTGCTAACTGATTTTCCTTTCCTGGAGATCTATAGAAGTCTTTCTGCTTTGGTAAGAAATTGCCTGGATATCAAGATCTTTCTAATTACAAACAAACCTTTTATCTTTATTTCTCTGATGAATGCCTTACATTGCTACTCTAAATATCATATCCCATTTTGTTTCACGACATTTAGAAACTCTTAGAAGAATAAAGATAATATATAAATAGATTTTTGATTATTACAACTAATCAAAGAGCTTCCTGCAATAATATAAAGATCCGCCTTGTTTGCCCAACTTTTTACTAGATTGTTTGCAAATCAAAAAAACAAGTTTAGCAGTCTTTATTTATGAATGACCCATTACTCTGGACTTCACCCTATTTGGAAATCACTTCAGTTAAAGCCAATATAATTTAATTCTACATAAATAGCATAAGGACTAGAGTGGGAGGCCTTATTAAAGGTTTGATTGCTGGCCCAAGAAACCTAAGCAAAGCATACTAATATTTTGTATTTCCAGGAAAAGTTTAACTAGAAAATAGGAAATAAACAAATAAAATAAAGTTTAAATAAGACACTATGAAAATATGCTTCTTTCCTTTGAGTGCTTTTTTCTCTAATAGAATTGATAAAGGATAGTGTCATTGTCTAAATGAAAAACTCTTTTGGAAAGAATAAAATTGCCAACCACTTTTATCAGACTGAATTAAAATTTGAGATTCAAGATATGCAAGTCTTATTAAGTCCATTAAAAAGATCTTATTTTGAAAAAACATTGTTGTACTGATTTAAGGTAGGCTTGTACTTTATGTTTATAAGGTAGCTGAGTGACATTATACGTTTAACATGTAAATAGTATAGAGTTTTTCCCTATGGGGCTTGTGTTAAAGGTAACATGGACATTCCAAAAAGGTAGCACTGATCAGGTGATCTCCCTTTGCTGCAAAAAAGGAGCTTGTGATCTGCTGATACAAATCTCCTCATGGTAGCACTGCTTCCTGGAATGTCTATGTGAGTTTTAATGCCATGTGATCACTTTGGACACTTTAGCACCAGTAAAAATGGAGCCTTTTGGAGTTTAGCTCTACCCCATTTAATTGGAAAATAAAATTCCCTCCCCTAGTTTTTTTTATAGCAGCACAAAGTAAGGGTCCTGGCAGTTATTTTTTTATTGAACAAAAAGGGTTTTAGCTGGAATTCATTTAGTGCTGTAAAGTCCATTAGGAGCAAATCTCTCCTAGTTCACTCCTTCCAGACTTCATAGTAGAATATGTCTACATCCTTGGCTTGAAAGATATAAAAGCTAAGGGTTCAGAAGCACATGAAGTCCTTATTCTGCACCCCTCTGTACTTCTGAAGCCGCACTTGGAATTCTGAACGCTGTGTTTTCAGAAGGAAATTGACAAATGAAAACTGAGGCTCTCAAAGGTGACAGAGGAACTTGAGCTAAAGGAACCTTAAATCTGGCAAAAAGAAGACTAAAGGGAATCATGATATCAGTGTTCAGGTATACATTAAAAAATGATATAGAAAAGATCGTCAGGAATTATTTTCCATACTGTTATGTCCTGAGAACTCTAGGAGTTCTCACTCAGGTCCACTCACTTTGTGTGGGCGTTCTTCCCCCTTTCCTCATTGGTTGGTTCTCCCCAGCAGCCAGCTATAAAAGCAGGCTGCGGGGTCCAACCAGTTGCTGATTGCTGCGAGCCAGTTCCTGGCGTGGCAAGCACGGTCAGCCCTTTATTGTTATAATAAAGTATTGTTGCACTCGTGCTCTGGTTCAGCCTCTCATTGCTCAAACTTAACACATACAAATTGGTTCAGAAATACTGAATACAAGTTGTAGCTTCCTAGATTTCACAATTATAAGAAAATGCTTCCTGATGCTAAGGTCCATACCACAGTGGAATAAGTCTACTTACTGAAGGCAGAAATTTGTTTAAAAAGTGGTATCCACCTCTTAAGGATGGTTTAATTGCCTTTCTTACCACTTGCAGAAGAATGGACTAAGTTCTAACTCCACAATTCTATGATGCTATACACATAAGTCTTGACTTATGAGTCCAACATTTCTATTACTACATGAGATAGTTGTTAGGTGAATCTTGCCCCATTTTACAATGTTTCCTGCCACAGATATTAAATGAATTGCATCCGTTGTTTTGTCACAGTTATTAAGTGAATCTGGGTTCTCCATTGACTTTGCTTGTCAGAAGGTCACAAAAAGTGACACTACAACCATTGTAAATATGAATCGGTTGCCAAGCATCCAAATTTTGATCACGTGACCATGGGATGCTGTAACAGTCATAAGTGTGAAAAACAGTGCTGTTGTAACTTTGGTCACTAAAGGAACTATTGTAAGTCAAGGACTACCAAGAAAATGCTCGTAGGTCCTCGTTTGTCACTCTGGTTCATTTGCTTTAGAAATTGTCCAATCTTTTTCATGAATACAGCAGCGCAAAATAGCAGAATCATGTATATAATTTATGGTAAAGCAAGATTATACTTACTAATGAACACATGAGACATATTTAAAGTTGCACAAAATATATACAAAAAAAGGAATAACTGCACTAATTTCTAATTTACCTGCTGCTCATCAACACTGATAGGCTCTTTCATAACAATCCAGGTAACGCACTCTTCACACGGAGGCATTGTAAAAGAGCCTTGATAAGTATAGTAACTTCGATTTTGAGGGAAGAGGATGGAAGGATCAAAGTTTGGAAAAGGAGCCTCTTTTCCCTTAAATAAATCAGAAATAACATAATTAAGTTCAGTGGCAGAGACAAAGAAAGCTCTCTACAGTCAAGATTTATTATGGATGGATTCAGAGGTACTATTCAGCAGGTTCTGACCAGTTCTGGAGAACCGGTAGTGGAAATTTTGAGTAGTTCAGAGAACCGGTAGTAGAAATTTTGAGTAGTTCGGAATACCACCTCTGACTGGCCCCACCCCCATCTATTTTCTGCCTCCCAAGTCACAGTTGATCACCTGGGTCTTCTTTTGTTGCCGTGCAAGGGAGAACGGAGCTGGAAAGCAGGTTAGTGGGATGGGGAGAGAATGGGGATTTTACAGTATCCCTCTCCTGGAGTTGTGTGGGAATGGAGATTTTGCAGTATCCTTCCCCTGCCACGCCCAGCAAACCACGCCACGCCCACAGAACTATTAGTAAAAAAAATTGAATCCCACCATTGGATGGATGATGATAATTTCTTTTTTTAAAAAAAGCAAGTTTTATTGACTTTTTCACATTGCAAATATTAAAAGGCTCTTTTCAGTGGACAACATATTTCTGGATCATCAATTTTACATGCAAATATGACAATATTTATATATTCATTTTTTACATTCAACTTCCTATCTTATCCAATTTTTACTTAATTCTATTATTACCTTTTCCATTCCAACTTTTACAGAAAAGAAGAACAAACAAATTAATCCTGATCTCTAATATTAATCTCAATCTAAACATCCTCTCATTTCATTTCAATTATTTCAAATATAATTCTTAAACATTAATATTTCTTTTAAGAATAAAAATAACAATATGTGTTTGCCTAATAAAAAAATTATCAATGTCTTTCCTTCCTCTTAATAATCTATCTTAATTTATTAATACTCTGTTCTGATTTGAATAGTTCTTTTATCTGTCAGATTTGCCATTTCATCGCATATTCTTTCCATAGTTCTAGATTAATACAAGCTTTTACACAAGAGGAAAAAAAAACATAAGTTTCCGCCCCTTTTACTAATTTGAGTGTGTCACTTCAGTGGTTAAAATAATAATAGTCATTCCCTAAAGAAAACAAAGAAAACTACATAACATTATATATCTTTTCAATCTTATTCCGCAATGTATTTCCCCCCTTTGATTATAAGATTTATTTATAATTTCAAAACAATGATGATAATTTCTATAGATAGCCTTAAGGTATACTTGAGATCACAGAATACTAAAACTAATAAACATTTTATTCTAATATCTAATCAGTCAAAAGCTACTCTAGATTTATCTAACATTAGATATCCCAATTTTACTAAGTCTGCAATGATTTTAGTAAGTGTCCCCAAGTAGTTTGAAATCTGGATCCATAATGAAATATTAATCCAAATTGCTTCTTCTGAATAGTATGACCACAAAGTTTCCCAACTTTCAATTTAAAGGCAATAAAAAGAATCTCATGAGCAAAATCAATTGAGAAAGTTTACTTCTGAATCAAGACTACTGTGTCTGGAAAACCGTCCTTTAAATAATCTCTTTTTTTGTTCCACTATCGTTGAATTTCCCATGGGAAGTTGTCAGCTATTCTTTTTTAAAAGATTTGTTACAATCTCCAGATGTTCCTATTGTTCACATGTTTCATGCTAGTTCTCAGTACTAACTGTTGTTAGAGAGAAGATTCACATATCATTCATAACCATAGTGTTGTTCACGTTGTACTGCTTGGCATTTTGTGTAAATACTGCCATTAAACTTCAGAAGGATGACTTGTGCCTTAGTATGATGTATGAAGCCAGCTAACTGCCTTATTCAACCAATAAAGTATACTGTAGTTTGGCATGTGTTAATAATATCATACTTTTTATGCATTATCTAAGTATGTTAGCTCCCTTTATTGAAACATATTAGATTAACCATGTTAGAAAACTTGATATTGACTAGAATATTCTTTTACATACCTTTGTTTTGATAGCGTCTATTTCTTCAATAATTCTTTTCATTTCTGGCTTAGGGTTTTTTCCTACCTGTCATGCAGAAGTCAGATAGTAAGCAGCCATGAAAGGTGATTATCTCTCAAATTGCAACAGTATTCAGAATTAATTATCCCATATATCCATTTAATTAGCAACATTTGGGGAATATCTTATAATCCCTAATACTAAGTATAAAATAATACTAAGTATAAAAACTAAAAGAGGATAACATTTGCCCGACTGGTTGGTGTTCTTTAATGGATACTCTATTTTGCACAACTATACTATGGCTTTAATTTCAGTGAGTGTTTCTGGACTTCAAAAAACATTTTGGTAGTTGTGCTAAAAGTGTAAATAATTGAAAATATCCACAAATTGAACTTTGACTACTGTAACTGGTACTCTCCAGCTGTGTTTGACTACAGACCCTACTATCTTCATCCAATACGGTTCTTTATATTTTCAGCCATACTGGCTGAAAATAATGAGAAATAAAAATTGCACGTAGACTTATATACCACTTCACTGTGCTTTACAGCCCTCTCTAAGCAGTTTATAGGGCCAGCATATTGCCCCCAACAATCTTGGGTCCTCATTTTGCCAACCTAGGAAGGATGAAAGGCCGAGTCCACTTTGAGCTGATCAGGCTCGAACTGCTGGCAGTCAGCAGAGTTAGCTTGCAATACTGCATTCTAACCTCCATATCATGAGATATACTTCAATACATCTTAATGGTATCAGGAAAAATTGACCTAATGATCTGCTCTGTAGTATCCAAGCCAACTTCCTAGGTCTTAAGGCAGCTTTCTTCTTGCTTTGCAGACATGTTGAATGAATTTCCATAAACCCCAGTCAGTGTGGCTCTTTTTCATGCTGGCTGGGGATGTCAAATTCAACATGCAGAAGTCACTAGCTTGGAGGAGACCTATCTAAAGTTAATTAAACATTCTGACCAAGATCTGTGCAGATTTTCAATTATTTTCATCAAAATCCCAAGTATTAGTGTTATTGAATTCAATTGGTGGGGTCCTGTATCAAGTATGAATTTTGTATCATGTTTCTAAAGTACAAATGTTAATTACTAATAACAGTATGTATGTATTGTTGCCTTAAATTGTAACAAAACTGAATGCAGTTGATAAATCGTTTCTACTAGGTATTTATAAAACAATAAGTCACATCTAGTGCAAAGACATGAAAAGGGTACCTAACCCCACTAACTGAACTCAACAATACCAACCCTCCTTCTTTCAGAAAGCAAACAGGAGAGTTCCAGTAAATTTTGAGTCTGCAGTGTTGTTTGGATAGCCATCATAGAATATTACTAATTACTCAACTGCCTGTAATACCATGACATTTTCAAAAATTCAAGAGGAAGCTTCAACCACCCATGTTCTTAGCTTACCAAAGCAAATTCTAAGAATGTGGATATATAAAAGAAAAGAAGACAGGGAAACAGCAAGCAGGTGAGGGAGCAGAAGGTGATGTCTGAAGATTGACAGCTATCACAGGCAAACCAGAGAACTACAGTTCAACTGCCAGAACCACAAGCTATGGCAAGCAGCATATCCTGATGGGATTCCAGGAACGTGGCTTGAGAGTTCAACTAGAGTGCTCAAAAACAATATTGCTTTAAGAGCAGAACTTGGCCTCGAGCTCAGCAGCAACTAGAAAAGGAGCATTCACACCAAGACAGCATCTCACCCCAAAGGCAAAGATTGTATGCCATTTTTTCAAACTTTTATCCCAACTAATATTAACAGAACTATATATAAAGGACTACGTGTTGAAGACATATGTACATGGTGACATCACCTTGCAAAGCCAAGAAGACTCCAGTTAGCCCAGACTAACAGCCTGTTATTGGGAAAGGCTGCCATAAAGCATTGTATACCTTTGTGGTGTGTCCCTTCCTTGGAAAAGGAAGAATCTTCACAGAATATTCCATGTATGAGAAGGAAAGTACTATGGTGGACTTTTTCCACAGGCTTAATTAGAAATTAGAAAGATTAGACAGTACACTCAGTCCATTAGTGTGGCGTATGATGGGAGAGTAGAGGTAAGTAAAAGACAGGTGTTGGCATTCTGTATTTTAAGGTCCATTTCACCTCAAAGAAGGTGATGTGGTGCATGATTAAAAAAAAACAGAAAGCATCACTATCCAAAACAGATACAATTTTTGGAGCCATAACTGAAGATTATTATGAAAATATGCATAAGAAAATAGCAGGAGTGGTGTGATGGCCTAAAGGTGGAGCTCTTGCCTCACAATCAGGAGGTTGTGAGTTCAATCCTAGGTAGAGGCAGATATTTCTCTCTCTGAGCACACTGAGAATATATCTGGTGAACAAAACTCCACATTGGTGACAGGAAGGGCATCCGGCCATTAAAACACTCTGCTTGCTCCATTCAGTTGCCCAGACTCTGCACTGCAAGGGATTATGGGGTTGTTAAATGAAGATGATGCATAATAAAATAGCAATCAGAACTTACTTGCATTAGAATGGCTATGATAGCCACGCCATCAGTTTTTCTCAAAGCATCAGCATAATTACTATAGGAGGAGTTCCAGTGTACCAAATGAATCTAAAAACAAGGAAAACATTATAGTTAGATATCAAAACAGGCCTGAATAGAATTTGATGAAATTTCATAAAATTCTCTTCATTTCCCAGTAGCCATCTGATTCTCACTACCAGGTAATCAATGAAAAACAATTTAAACATTTTTTAAAAATCAGAAACGTACAAACTGCATGAGGCATTATCTGAAAATTTTTGTTCTTTTAGAAAAATGTTTAAAATGATAGAGTCAAAAAGTGAGATTTAACAAAATTGCCAAATTTACATTAAATGGTTTTCATACAACTATTTTTCTCCAACTGAGCAACTTCCAGACTATAATACTTATTTTCAAACAGTATGGGTAGTGGCCAAACAGATGTGAAATTATGAAGAGTCATCACATACATTTGGAAGCATGTAAAATATATTGAACCCCCATGGTTCAATTATTTTCAAGCTAGGATCAAAATACTATAAAAATTCCTATGTGGTGCTTTCAACTTACCAACTTGTATTGACAGACAAACAAGTATATAGTATATAATAGTAATAATTATAGTAATAATATAAATATATAATAGGCTTTTTACAAGTAACATATTCTGATTCAGAACAACTTTTATGATGCACATGCATCTACATGCATATATATATAATTAGCACCTGTGTTCCCAAATATGCCCAGACAATTTCCATTTCCATTAAATAGAAAAGAAGAAGAATGCTGCATCAACCAGTATGTATCCTGGTTACACAGATATCCTCATCTGTATGTTGACACAGATATTGATGCTACCACCTCAGTCTTTTCATATTCTCTGGTCATTTGGGATTCTTGAAAAGATTGGACCTGAACTTTCAAACTGAAGTCCAACCCTATTATCCTGTCATCCATATCCATGTGTCAATTGGAGTTTTGATTCAAACCCCGAATTATTATTTTTTCACCAGAAGAAATAATTTATTCATTTGTATAGGATAAATTCAATAATTCAAAGACTTAAAAAATGTTAACGCTGAAAGTATGCATCAAACTTCAAACTTGATGTCCTATGTCTTTGGCCACTGACCTCAACATGACCTCAATTCCTCCACATCTACATGGCTACCCATCTTTGCTAAGCCTTTATTAGACTATCTGCACCTAGTTTTCTACTGGCAAGGGGAGATCTTCCAGTATCTTCTGCAGAACCTACTCACCTCTCCTGCATGCCTTTTTGCATCCACCACATGCTCTGAACCTTTGTCACTGGTAGAACCCCAGTGGATCTGAAGCTGACGGAGCCTGTAAATCCCAGAAAGTGGTCCTCCCCTAAGAACTGCAAGGAATAGTCTAGATTAACAGAAGATTTTTGCTGTGCCATAACAAATGGTACAACCTTTACATAAGATGAATATTTATGAGCATCTCTTGCCAATATGACTGATAGCAAAGGGGACATCTCATCTTCCACTGCATTTCCAATCCAAAGTTCATAAGACAGTGCATCCTTGGCCAGCCACTTACCTCCAACAAGTTGGCAAGTATGTTGTGATTCTTATTCTCCCTTTTTTGTCTTACAATTCCAAATACTATCAGGTGATTAGTTCAGCCATAATTGAAAATATTCTAGGAAACATTTTGATGCAGAAGAACAATGTCCATTGCTTTGAACAGGACCATGCCATCCTCCCATGCCCAACTGACCATCAGATTGAGTCTTACAGTGTTTTGCCATGATATTTTGCCAGCCTTAGGAACAATGCATGTAAAAGATACAAATTGTCATCTAACAGTAGATGACAATTATGAACAGGCAGGATGATTGAACTCACACATTTGTCACTTCTGATTTAATTAACTTTATGCATGTCAAGCTAGACTGGCCTTTGCCCAAAATTCATATCCTTCCTATCTATAAATAAATGTTATCCACTTAATGAAGAACTAAATGTAGCAACAAGAAAGGAACTCAAATGTAAGGTAACTTTTCATATAACAGAAAAGTGTTTGGAAGTTTCCTATATTTAATACTTTATTCATTCAATGAACAGCAAAAAAAATTAAATAATGCAACATTAAATTTAAACCTAATAGAGCCAGTTTGGTTTAGTTGTTAGCAGGGGTGGGATTCAGCCAGTTTGGACCAGTTCAGGTGAACCGGATGTTAAATTTATACCTGATTCACTGAACCATGAATATTGAATTGCTAACTAGGGCATACAAAACCTTTGCTAGACCAATACTCGAATACAGCTCATCTGTCTGGAATCCGCACTGTATATCAGCCATTAATACAATTGAGCAATTCCAGAAGTATTTCACGAGAAGAGTACTACACTCCTCTGCTCGCAACAGAATACCTTATATCACCAGACTTGAAATTTTGGGCTTGGACAATCTTGAACTACGTCAGCTAAGATTGGACTTAAGCGTAGTACACAAAATTATCTGCTACAATATCCTACCAGTCAATGACTACTTCAGCTTCAAGTGCAACAATACAAGAGCACACAACAGATACAAACTCAATGTTAACCACTTCAAACTTGATTTCAAGAAAGTACGACTTCAGCAACAGAGTGGGCAATGCCTGGAATGCACTACCTGACTCTGTTGTTACATTCTCAAACCCGTACTCCTTTAACCTCAAACTATCCACTATTGACCTCACCTCATTCCTAAGAGGTCTGTAAGGGTCGTGCATAAGTGCACCATTGTGCCTACCATCCCTGTCCTATTGTCCCCATTTATTTGTACCTATTTCCTGTATTCTTACTCATGTTTATACTTATATCTATTACCTTGTAAGCAATTGACAAATCAAATAAACAAACAAACAAATAAATCCAGAGGATACCATGGTTGATGGTACTGAAAGCTGCTGAGAGGTCAAGTAAGGTAAGAATGGATGCAAATCCACCATCACACCCACATCAGAGATCATCCTAAATCGCGACTAATGCTGTTTCCATTCCATTCCCAGGTCTGAATCCTGATTGAAAAGGATCCAGGTATTTAAAATATACCATTATAAAGGAACATGAAACTGAAAGGCAGGAGCTCAGAAAAGCATGTGCTGCTGGGCTGGTGCCATGGCTCTTTCCTTCTGAAAATTTTCTCCTACATTTTTTTAAAAGGTGCTCATTATAAAACATAAGCCAAGATAATGACAATGTAGTTCAACACTGTGTCCGCTTCTGATGAGAATGTCTAATTTATTAAAATTGCATTTCCCTATCTCAATGTCAATGTCAATTAACGGAAATGTGAATGAATCTATAGGCAGAACTGAACAAAAGCATTGTGCACTTCATCCCTAAGGCAAGCACCAAACAGGACAGAAGTCATGTGATATGGATTGATCCATTACTATGGCCTTCAAGCTATGGAAACAAAAATATTTGCATGAAAAAATCAGTATCAAATTATTTCCAACATATCAATAAAATTCTTCTCTCAATTTCATTTAACTGAACTGCCAAGAGCTGCTATTTCACATAACTGCTTCCTGCATGGCTTGGTGGTCATGCTATTGGCTGGGCGTGTTCAACTCAACAACACTCATATCGAGGCACACATCTCCTCCCCTGGCCTCTCATGACTGTGGGGATACTGCAACAGTCATAAGTGTGAAAAATGGTCATAAGTCACTTTTTTCAGTGCCATTGTAACTTTGAATGGTCACTCCACACAAACAAAGTACCAGCAAAGGAGGGAGAAAAAAGCTCCAGAGATGTTCCTGAGACAGGAAATCTAGTCCTGCCAAGAATGTAATAAGGGTTAACGGAGAGGCAGTTTCTGTAAGCAACATCAGAATGTTTCCTTCCTGCCTTCCTTACAGGATTAGGCCAGTAATTTCTTCTAACAACCAGTTCTCCAAACTGCTTAGAATGTTAACAATCGGTTCTAGGGAATAGGTGCGAACTGGTAGAATCCCACCCCTGATGTGTATACTAATTCCAATAGCATACATCGTCTATTAAATCTGAAGGAAACAGGCTATTTTTCAGGGGGTATGCCACAGGTGGAAAACTTGATCACATCACATGATGGATTGTGATATATTGCAATGTTTTTCGCCTTTGCAGAGCTAAGAGTGGGCACGGCATGCCTGTGACACATCCAGCCCATGGGACACCAAGTTGACAGGCTTGGTGTATAAAGTTACCTTGTCATGCATCTTGTTTGTTATCGTAAGCAAGTACTGAACCTTGCTCACCAACAGGGCCAGCCTTGAAGAGAACAAGTGTAGAAGGACAATTTTGTTCCAACAGTTTGTTTACCAAGAACGCTAAAGAATATGGAGTCATATGACCTGTTTCTTCCTCAATTTTACAACTTTCAAAATAAAATAAATCATCCAAATATGCAACAAGCATTTCAGGCTTTTATAAAATTATCCTTCAAATACAGGTTTCTGGAGGTCCAGTCCTAGATTTCCCTTTCTTGTGTTATTATTTTTAAAATGCTATAAAAGCATCCTTTAATACATCATTGAAGAAAAAAAATGCAAATTATATTACATGCATTTATTTGAATTTATTGTGTATAGGTCTAGATTCAAATAGAGTAGTAATTTGAAAAATTTATAGAGAAATACATTCACAATATTGAGTAATGCTAAACCAAGTGAATGATATGCCTGTTCCACATGCTATCCAAATCTTAATTATGATAGGAATTGTCAAGATCCATCCATTCCTTCTGCTTATAGGACTTAAGATAAATAGCCCTTCGTACAGAAAATGTCTTCAAACAGCAGACTATTCTCTATAAAAATGAAATAGGCAAATACTCCATTATAATGGTTTGTCAAAAGTAAGCCAATTTGATCAAAATCACAGTAAACCCAATTCATACTGTAAGCAACAACTCTATTGTGGTAGGACCTGCAACTTCCTCATTAATTCACTCCACCGAGTTTTAAATCATATTCAGTTCAATTCAGATCTGCAGAATTCATTGCTATCCAATGTGGTGATACCACCAATTTAGACAGTTTTAAAGGAATAGAGAAGATAGGGGTATAAATGGGTATTCTATTTTCTGATTCATATGCAGCATACTTGAAAACCAGCTGCAAAGGAGAAACAATGAAAAAATACTCTTCTGTCCATCCTGTAGAGTTATTTAATGTATTTGGTTGGCTACTATTTATTTGTATACAAATAAAGGCCAATGCTCCATCTTCAGGCATGGAATAAATTCTGTTAATAATTTGGTAATAAAAATCTTTAAATGCTCATCTATTGTCGTCACAGAAAAAGAAAGGAATTCAAACCCATGCATTTTTCTTAACTACAATATTCTTATGACAATAGTCTAGGTCAGTGGTCCCCAACATTTTTGGCACCAGGGACTAGTTTCATGGAAGACAATTTTTCCATGGACTGAGGGGTGCGGGAAGGTAGGTGTGTGCAACCTAGATAACTTACATGTGCAGTTTACAGTAGGGTTCATGCTCCTGTGAGAATCTAATGCCTGATGATCTGAGGTGGAACTGAGGTGGTGATGCTAACATGGGGGAGTGGTGGTAAATACAGATGAAGCTTCACTCACTCACCTGCCAGTCACCTTCAGCTGTGCAGGCCAATTCCTAACAGCCCACAGACTGGTACTGGCCAAGGTCCTGGGGATTGGGGACCCCTGGTCTATGTCACATAAAAAAACAACTTTTTTAAAGCCATGTTTTTTTAAAATTATAGTACTCTAGTTTACAGATCTCCAACATTGGCCACTTTAAGCCTGACAGACTTCAGTTCCCAGAATTCTTTGAGTTGAAGTTCACCAGGCCTAAAGTCACCAAGGTCAGAGACCCCTGCTCTAGCTGAGTCAGTTCCTAACAAAAAATTACAACACTGGATAGTATTGTGTGTGAAGTACCTTGAAAATTCATTGTTTTGTTTTTTTAAATCCTTAGTACATTGTGGTTTCAGTGAATGGCACAATATTCAGATCAGGAAAAACAATCTTCAATCTTAGAGACCTGCAATCTTTAGTAAAACCAATGAAAGACTCTATGACCAGCTTATAGAGTAGTATCCCACTGCAAAATAATTGAGTTTTCCTTACAAATGGGACACCCATCAATACATAATTGATCAAGCCAGGAATGCTATCCCTCTTCACATAAAGTCATGGGAAGACCATACTATATTGATATAAAGGTTTGAAAAGCTTCATATATTGTCAGGTTTGCAGTGACAGGTGACAATCACAAGTGAAAACAAAGGAAGCTCAGCCTTCCCCTAGGTACAAGTAAGGGCTTTTCAGTTTTGTTTTATGATTAAAAAAAATAACAACAGCACAACACAGTTGGCCATGTCAATAACAATGCAATTAACAGGCCCAAGAATAAACAGACAGTTGGCATGTTCTTTGAAATAACGGTCAATGAAGTCAGCTATGAACATTTGACAATGATATGGTGGACTTTTCTGTGATGAAAATGCCTAACTAAAATACTGCTCATTTTCATAATGGCCAAGAGTGCCATTTATTTCATGAATTCAGGTCATGTTGAATTCAAAGAGAAGAGATTATTCTAGCATCGCATTCTGGAAGCAATCTCAGTTTTGACCTAAAATGCCCCTGCCCATGAGTTTTGACTCTAGGCTTCCTGAGATACTAACCACACATTCTTCTGCAACCTAAAAAGGAGAAAGAACCTGACTCCTGTAGGCAGAAAGCCGATCACTGCCACAATCCCAGAGGGCCTTTGTTTGAAGCAACATTCAAGTCCTTTGGCTGCCAGCAATAGCATGGGATTCCAGAGTTAATGCTACCGCAGAGCTCAACCTTTTGTGTCAGAGTATTGCTGGTCTCTCATCAGTGATTAATATCTATGTACTCGAATACCCAAGGATAAAAGATATGTTAAGCATAGGGCAAAGGGCTTAGCCTTGTCTTTTCTTTAGCTGGCATTGTGATGTTGGCCAGCCCAGAACACCATCTCTCCCTTTCAGCTTTGGAATTCTGTTCACTTGGATTGGGGGCATTGAAGCACCCATTAAAAAATCATAATCAATTAAATGTAACAATGCAAGAAAAAAAAAAACCAAAGACTATAATACATGAAAAATTGATACTTTCTGTTGCAGACATACAATGCCAGGAGGCAAGGGAACAAAAAGACACATGATTTGTTCCTTCTCACAACAGCACGAATAGTAGACACTCCAATGAAAAAAAATGTAACCTTATAGTCAAGAACTACTCCGACAAGAGAGTAGATAAGAACCGCCATAGAGGAACATCACAAAATACAAATATTACATTGACACTGCAGCAACACATGCACACACACATACAAAAACAAGTAAATACATTTCTGTACTGTATATGAGTGTGTGAATGTTCTAATCCTTAAATACTTGTAAGCAATTACAGTCCAGGAGGGCTGTATCTTAACTGTGCTGTTAAAAAAAACACTTTAAAATGTTTGGTATGGAGTATAGTCAGTGTTCCTACATTTTGTTTAAAAGCAAAAAGCTGCTGTTCCTCAACTCCTTTTCTATTTTCTGACAAAAGGCTATTGTTCTCACCCTATACCAGAAAATAAAGATCAATTTCATGGAAAATGCCATGGGCTAATGATAAAATTTTGATGTTTAACCACAGGTGCATATGGAAGGAATCGTGCTGATCACAGTAAAATGGCAACCTTGCAATCTGTTTTCATGTGAATTGCAAGTTTAGCGATTAATCCAATCAAATACTGTGGCAGCAAAGACTAACATTCCCAAACATCTTAAAGCTTTAAAATAGTTGAATGAAACTATTGGAAATATACAGTAGGATTCATTCCAAAGTAAGCAGAACTGAATCAGGACCTTCCTACAAGTAATGGACAATTTGGCTGCTTGGACTTTTTGCTGACTAGAATTGCCTTTTGCATTTACCTAATTGTTCATTATAAAACTTATTTTATGGTATTTTAAAAAAAAATTCCTTCTGTACTTGTGACTTGTTTCTTGTTTTGTGATTGCTTTGTAATTTTTTGGATAGAAAAGGCAGGATTGATTTGTTTTCTCTTTTTGTGTAAAAAATATACACCTTTCCATCAGGAGAAAAAGCAGAGGAAGGAGATAGAAACAAGAAAAAAAATATAGGAAAATTATAATGATCAAGGTTCTAGTTAAAAAGGCTGGGAAAGGTTAAAAAAAAAGAAAGAGAAGAATAAGATGACCATCAGTAAGATGAATGGACTCAGTTACAGCAGCAATGAATGTAAGGAGGAGATGAAGAATCAGATTAGGGACAGACCATTATCAAGGAAATCGAACTATGCAGTTGCTAAGAGTCAACAATGACTTAATAGCATATTATCAATCAATCTGTCTTGGTAGTATAACAATCAAGTACAGTAATGCTTATAGTATAGAAGATTATGACTTTTAATAATATTGATGGCTAGTGGCTCCCTATGTGAGTTGGCAGGGTGGGGAGTAGGAGGCCTTGAGCCAGTTTCTTTTATTCCTGGAAACTGTCTGAACAAGTCCCTGCAATTTTCTCCACAAGTGTTTGGGGGTGGTTTTCTGTTGCTTCCTTCCTAGAGAAGAGAACTGGCTCAGGGTCACCCAACTGGTATTGTTCCTAAGAACTCATAGCCTTACAATTTCTAACCTCATCCCTTAACTACTACACCATACTGGCTCTTTATTTTAATGCACTTCAATTCTTAAATTACATGACTGACAAATATTTTCCAGCATGATCTACCCTTCATGGGATCAGATTGGGATACAAAACCAGGAGGACTGCACCTATCATTCTACAACACAGAACAAAGACTGAAGAGCAGGATAGGAACAAAATCCCAACTTTGCTGAAAAGCATTGGCTTTCAAAATGATTGCGGACTTACTGCAAATTGGCTGTTGACATGGATGGCATATCTCTTGAAATTGAGAGAATATCCCGAGGGGCAGAGGAAAGTAAATAATCCAACCAGCACAATAAACAGCAGCACAAATCACTCATCTCCCATCAGATGTTTCTGTGTTTGGGAAATGAAGCCTTCCTTAGAAGATCATTTCACAGCAAGGATTTTGTAGGCTTAACCCTTATTACTTTAAGCTTACAAGTACATTTGTAAACATTTACCAAAGTAAACTTACCTGAGCGATCAAAAGTATCATCAAATGCAATCCGCAATATTTTCCCAGTGTTTCTTATGTTCTTAGCTGCACCTGGATCATAGCCAGTAAACCAAGGCAAAAGAGCAGGGTCTTTGAAGACATCTTTGCTAAGAATTGCAACAGGTGACTGATTGTTCCCTTTGGCTATTGGGTAAGATACATGCCAGTTATCAGGTCCTGGGAGGGAAACATGCCAAGGCAAAGGTGTGTCATATTCTGTATCATATGGCAGCAGTTCCCAAAAAGTTGCCCTTCGGCTATTTTGGTATTCTAACCCCAGATGGCTACAATGCCTGTTCCAAAACCTAAAGTACATGAGGCTGGAAGTGAAATGAACAATGTTAAGCATTGTCCCATCTCAAGACAATTTAGTCTTTACAATTACTTTTCAAAGAATCTTTAAATCTTGGAGGCAAGGATTACTGTTACAGTTTCAACCACCCTTATTTTTCTAATAAGGAATAGAAAGGGTGGTTGAAACTGGCACAGTAATTAAAACAAGAAATTAAAACAAGATTTGAATTTAAAACATAGCCCACAGCCCTGCATAATCTGACAAGAAATCTCACCAAATTCAATGAGGTTACCTTCATATATAAACACATGTAGAAAAAAAATAAAAAAGTATGCAGTGCTATTGATAATTTTCACACTGCATAAACTTTTGCTAATTGGAAGCAAAATGGGTCAAGTTACTAAATATATTCCATGAACCTTCTGCTATAGGAAACCTTTCATTTATTTAAACTTCAAAGAACATTGTTAAGGCTGTATGATCCTCATGGAATGACAGACAATAAGGATTCTGCTTAGATTTCTTCATCAAGCCCATTTTAGAGTAAAGTAAAAAAATCTGTTTGGAAATCTGTTCTGCATATGTGCAGCATAAAGTTCCAATGTGAGTCCCTGGAAATCTTAACACAAGCAGACTTTTGCATGTCTACTATAAATAGGCCATATTAAAATCAAAGGGGCTTTTATTCAAGTGCATTTCAAATTATTTACTTTAGAACAGGTAGGATAGCAAAACTATACATTTCTAAGAAGTGGTAACATTTCTATGGCACCACTTAATTGTAGGCAGAGGCACGGTGTTATTCAAAGCTATGAATCATGTTTTTTATTGCTATATATCTCAAACCTGGGATCTAAGCGAAAAACAGGTTCTGGGCTGTCATTCTGAGTACACAGACTAATTCTACCTCCTCCCATGGGGTATACTTCAGATTTTTTTTCCTGCTGATTGGGAATGACCAGAGCGCTACTAGAATAGAGAAAGGTGTTGTATATTCCACTTTCAGTGAAGACTTATTATTGGGCAGAGAATGATTAACTGGGGAGAACAGGCATTCCTGCATGGAAGATTTTCTGCCTCTTTTTAGGTTTAAACATACTGACATCTCTCACCTGCCTAAAGCCACTTGCATCCCTTTTCTCAATAACAATGTTATAGCAAGGAAGAAAACCTGATCTCACCCCTCAGGCACTTGTCACAACAGGCCTCCCAAAAGCCTTTTCTATTTGAATTGCATATATTAATTGTAGACTCATAAGCAAAAATACTGTATTTCCCCTTGGTATGGTCCTATTTCTCTTTCTTTTCCTTTCTCTTCCAGTTATACTGCATTATTATAAAACATACAATTATTTGAGTCCATGGATATTGTCTGGAGATTATTGATACTCTCATATTTAGATAATTTAAACTTTTTAAAATAAAACTGTTTATATCAATATTAATTATCATTTATAAAATGTCAATACTGATGCTGATGCCAATACTGACATAAAGTTGTTTAAATTAAAGCTTTTTAAGAATAAATGCAAAATACACCAAACTATTTGTTATACATAGTATAATGTATGTTAAGTATGTTTCTTATACATAGCATGAATCTTAATAAGCTTAATACTTAAATACTACCATCTCCATTGTGTTGTTACATATGATTATTTGAGCAAGACTGTTTTCTTCGGTACTATTCAGACTTTGAAATGTTAAAGCACTCTTTGTTTTGCTCATTAATTTATACTAATTATTGTTAAAAACAATAACAACATAAAATGTTTTTCAGATTTCTGGCACATTAATAATATGCAATTTGGCAGTTCAAATCCCACCAGGTTCAAGGTTGACTCAGCCTTCCATCCTTCTGAGGTGAATAAAATGAGGACCCAAATTATGAGGGCAATATGCTGATTTTGTAAACCACTTAGAGAAGACTGTAAAGCACTATATAAGTCTAAATGCTATTGCTATTATTCTACTAACAAAAACAACAAAAGCAACATTAGTGGGAGATACACCCTTATTTGCACATGCACACAACAGGGATAGGCAAGTTGAACCCTCCATATATTTTAGTCTTTAAACTGCCATCAGTCTCAGCCTCCTAGGGCAACAGCAGAGAGCCATGGAAATCATAACCCAACACGTTTGCAATCATTTGGGGCGATGGGGGGGAATGGTATGTCACACTATATATTAAAAAAGGGCAGAGGCCATTCATAAAAAAGATGGTCTGCTCTTAGACTTCAGTCCTTTAACAGAGATTACAGCCTTTTTATCCTGAAGTCTCTCATTCCACGGGGAAGGGGTTCAGATAGCCAAGATGACAGCCATAATATGCGATCAAAAGCCTGTCTTTTTTAACATGGGTCACATGCCTCCCCCCAAAAGGGGCAAGGTTTGATTGCATGTTTGTGGTCACTATCTTGTCCTTTTTGAGACATAAGCATATGCACCCCCAGATATCCTGTCTGGAAAATATCACATTGCTATAGTTAATCTACTGCTATAGGATACATCAGTGAGTGACAAGAAGTCTCCAGTATGTCCGAGCACTAGAAGAAAAATGTGATAAGCACATTAATCTTTTAAGGAATTAGGATGTTCTGTGCTTTTCCTATGATAATAAATAAAAATACAAATTGTTCTTCTCCCATCCAAGAAAGACAAGTAATCTTATGCAAAAGGTACGCAAAGGGGGGCTATTTTCAGTCTTTGGCATCCTCAGTTAACAAGGATGAATCAACAAACAATGATAGTCTTCCATCAAAAATCCAGAAAAATCCAGTTCAAAATTCAATCCTGAGATAGATAAGAAAACCATCTGGTTAATTTGCCTTCCCAAATATATTCAATGTGAGCAAGAGCCTCTTAGCCTTGCAAGCAACATTTCTTAAGCATCCTTCACTCCAGATGTGTCAAACATGAACCGCAATAAATCTACAGCCAGGTTTTCAGTGGGGATGACAGGAGTTGTGGTCCAGCATGCTTGCAAATGCACCCCAAAAGCCTGATGGGGGGTGGGGGGAAGTGTCTTTGAGAACTTACTGCCCTATTTGATAGCATCAAAAAGAGAGGAGTGACCAGGTAAGGCGGCCTCTCCGAGAAACATAAATTCCACGCCCCAGACGTTGGAAAAACGCTCTTTCCCCAATTCGGTTGAATGCTGCGTGGAGGGGTGGGGGGACACGGAGCTGCGGTTGGAGGGGGTGCAGTTCGAGGGGCGTGGCGGGATGGAAATCCGCTGGCTGGGAACTTCTTCCCACTCACCGTTCTCCTTGCTATAGCCCCAGGTCAGGGAGTCGGCGGTGGATTGCTTGCGCATCATCCTCTCTCGCGGGCTTCAGCACCGCTGGCCGCGAACTTCTGACGCCCGAGCCATTTATAGGGCTCAGCGGACTCCAGCCTTGGGACAGCCCGGAGGCGGAGGCGGAGGAGTCCAAAAACCATTTACAGCCGGACGCCGGAGGGGGGAGCTACGCACTAGCGTGGGTTTCCCCGTAACGTGGGTCGTCCCTTCAGTTGAACCTGTCGGCGGCTGGAAGAACGATCAGCTTAAGAGAATTCGAACTGACCCGATTTCTTTGTATCTTTCTTAGCCCTAGGAAGAAGGCAATGGCAAGTCATTTTAAAACTTGCCAAGAATATCCCAGCAGGGATTTTCCAGGCAGTCACCTGGAGTCAAGACCAACATGAAATCTACATGTGTATGTACATCTGTCCATCCATTCATCCATATGTATATTGCTGAGCATATTTGAATGAATTTAGCTACTTTGTAGGCTAAAAACAGATCAGTCCCTATAGTATAAGCTAAAATGTTGCAGGTCAGTTATGTATCCTTGTTTTTTTAAAAAATGATGACCATAAGCAACACAGCAGTGCAATGACACCGAGAAAGAGGTCAAATGAGAGTTGACTTCAATTCTGTACTTGGATAAGGGAGGCCTGTCAAGCAGACATTCACCTGGATACAAATATTCTTCTCACTTGCCCCTAACAACAGCACAAACGTCTCCAAGCATTTTTTTTCTCCTATGACCCCTTGATATTCCAGAGTCTTTGAGTAATTGAGACAGGATTATGTCAAGCTTAGTTGTACCTCTGTTAAAGTAGTTTTTCTCTCTGAAACAGGACACCATCCCAGAACGGTCTCAAGGTATAAAAAACATCTTTTTTAGTCTTTGTCACCTGTTACCTTGGAGGGAAGACAAGTGACCCACAGTGACCAGAAACAGAGGCAATAAAAGCAACATAACAGCTACCAGTGAGAGGATGGGAAAGTTCAAAGTGATGGTTTTCTGATTCAAGAATGAGAGCAATTTAACTCAACTGCCTTAAATTCTACTCTAATCTCATAAATTTACAGTTTCAAACTATGTATTTTACATAAATGGAAATTTCATTTTAATTGTCTTCATCTCAAGGAAAAAAAATCCAAAATCCACATCAATCACTACCTTCAGGCTTTTTTATTCCTTTTTAAGACATTGATTTAGTTTTCATATAATAATAATAATATAATTTATTTATATTGCCGCCTATTTGCCCATGGTGACTTGAGGAGGCTTACACAATGTAAAACCATATTTAAAACAAAAAATAAAATTTAAAAACAATAAAAACTAACAAAAAGAATCAAATAAATTAATAAAGTACAATAGAACAATATCTGGAAAAAATAAAATAAAATAAATCATCCCCCAACTCTCACAACCCGCCCCAACGATAGCAGATCACACTAGCCATTTGATGGGCTCCAACCCGCTCTGGGTTCCCCAGGCCCACTGGCAAAACCAGGTCTTCAGTGCCTTCCAAAAGAGTGCTAGAGTGGGGGCCATTCTAATCTCTGGGGGATGATATTCCAGGGAGAGGGAGCCACCACAGAAAAGGCCCTTCTTCTGGGTCCCACCAGGTGTATCTCCCTCAGGGATGGGACCCGCAACATTTCCTGCCTCCCCGCTCTAAGTGACTGGCAAGAGACGGTCCCTCAGATAACTCAATCTCAAGCCATGAAGGGTTTTAAAGGTGACAATCAGCACCTTGAATTGCACCCAGAAGCAAATTGGCTACTAATGCAGCTCCTGCAGGAGAAGTGACACATGTGCATACTGGGGTCTGCACAAAACCATGTGGGCCACTGCATTTTGCACCAGCTGGAGTTTCCAGATGCTCTCCAAGGGCAGCCTCATGTAGAGCGTGTTGCAATAATCAAGATGGGAGGTGACTAGGCTATGAGTGACTGTGAAAATAATGCTGTAGGATAGAATGAAAAAGGAAATTGTAACAATCTTCTCTTTAAACAAATAATCCTTTTTGTTGCAATTCCAAACAGATTTACATATGAATAAGAATAGAGGGACAAATGTGTGCTCCAGTAACTATTAGAGGCATGTTAATTTTATTGCAATTGGGCATGTTTAAGATGATTTTTGTGACATTATATATTCCACTCATTTCCTGTAGTTTATTAATTTGCATATCCAGATTTCAATTACTTGTTAATAATAATATAATGAATAATTATATTATATAATTAATTGTCAACGAATCTGGAGCAGTTTTCAATTGTTAAAACATTTTAAAAATTGAGAATAATACTAAAAAAAACCAAGCACAAAACCAAGGAACAACTACAAAGAAAACAAACTCAGGGGAGAACAGAAAGGAAGAAAGGGGCATAATCATTTTAACAGATTAGTTTAGTTTAGTTTAGTTTACTTTATTGTCATTGCACCTCGTACAATGAAATCAAACACCATCTTCAGTGCACATTATGACCATGACCATGAAAATAAACACAAACACACATCCTTCACCCTTCACACATTGAACCAGAAACCCCCTGACACTACACCAACACTGCACTATACAGCAGAATTCAAAAGAGCTACTGCCCTGGGATAGAAGCTGTTTTTCAGCCTAATTGTCCTTGTTTTTATTATTCTGTACCGTCTGCCGGATGGTAATAGTTCAAAAAAAGGGTTCCCAGGATGAGATGGAACTTTGAGAATGTTTTGAATTTTCTTAAGGCATTGGGAGCTATAAAGCTCTTTCAAAGAGGGGAAAGGGCAACCCATGATCTTCTGGGCAATGACATTAACCCTCTGGAATGCTTTCCTATCTGCCACTGTGCAATTGGCAAACCATATACCAGTATGTTAAAATGCTCTCTATGGTGCAACTTTCCAAACTTGATTACTTCCAAGGGTGTTGGATTAAGGTAACTAGCACTGTAGGACAACTCAGGTAGAGATTCTGGACTGGGAATATAGATCAAATTCAATAAGTTTATTATTTATACAGTATATCACAACTGTATGACACATAATTCCCTCTTGACATCTACAATCTACAGTAAGCTTGTCTTTGCCATAGGCATCTGTGAGGACAGCAGGAAAGTGACAAAACAAGTATGACAACATAAGCAAACAGATGCCTGTTTACACCCGTGTCTCACATGTTGAGACACAAGAGAAATATTTGCACAATGAGATCATTACTCATTTTTATTGCAATTTTGGTATTGTTGGAGTTTGCTATGAATGCCACTGCTCTTGACCTTGAAATCTTTAGAAATTGTTGATGGAGAGTCATTGCCAATGACAGGTAACAGGAATTAGAGAAACAAACTTTCAGACAGGAGACAAATTTAGCATCAAATTCTCTTTCTAAAAAGCATCACCAAGCACAGCTTTGTTAAATCTCTTTTTCTTTCCCCCAACCTGTGATTTTGCACTGTTAATACTTTTAATATTCTTGGAAAAAATGTTCCATTTAGTGCAATGTTTTCTTGCAAGTACCCTTAATAAACGATTAGCTTCCTTTGTTTTGTTTTGTTTTGTTTTTAAATCATTTTTGTTCTTTTTAGAGTTTAAGCAATAGGTTTTTTGACTGAGGGAAGCTGTTTACTGGGTGCAGTTTGCAGCTGAAAAATAAGGCCCTAAAATAGGTTGCAGGGAAATCCATGTCAGGTGGAGCTAAACACAACACTTAGAGTGACTCTAGAAGGGAAAGAGGTGAGAAAAAATTCTGGTGGAATCTAACCTTTGCCCTCTTTCCTCACTTTAGCTGGCTATAGAATTCAATCAGGGTCAAAAAACACACTCCGTAGAACTTTTGAATAATAACAAAAGCATTTGCTATGCAAAATATCCTTTAGTGTTGTAAATAATAGTTTATTACAGTTCATTAGTTAGGGTTTTTTAAAAAAGTTAAAGCAATGCTTCACATGATCATTTACTTTTTCCACTCCCTAATCAAAACAGTTGTATCTATATTAGTTTTCCCCTGTCCAGAATGTCATCTGACATCATGGCCCAAATTGACAAGAGTTCTATGATTGCAATGCAAAATGACTCAAGCCATCACCAATATATCCTATGAAGTGACACTGATATCTTTTCTCCCACCCAGCCTGGCCCTCCTTTGACTATTTTATGTCCACGAAGCAATAGCAGCAGCTTGTTAAACACCTCCCTGTTTTATTCAGAGCACCAAATGATATTCCCCATATTGTCCTCCTGAATTTATTTTGTATTAAGTTTTTTATTTCATATTTACAACAAATCCATCTTTCATTTAAACAGTGTGTCAACTGCATACATATATCTTGTGTTAACAATTATAATTATATATGCAGAAGCTAAAAGATACTGGACAAAAGTACACACATGGTTGGAAAAAATGATAAAGCAACATATAGACTTAAAACCTGAAATATTCCTTTTAGACATGGTACCTGAAAGCTATAGCAAAGAAAAAGTATATTTAATTATTCATATATTAACTGCAGCTAGAATTGCATTTGCTCAGAATTGGAAAAGTGAAAAAATTCCAGAAGAGGAAAGGGTGATTGAGAAAATATTAGATTGTGCAGAGATGAATAGATTAACACTGGCAATTAAAGAAAAAGAAGAAACTGAATACCATATGGTATGGGATCTATTTTATCAATGGTTGGAAAATAAAATAACAAGTTAAAATTAAGTAGATAGAGAAATAAGTTAAGATTGTTATAAAGATAAAGATAAAATATGTAACCGATAACTGCTTTAAAAGAAATTGTGATTACTGTTATATTGGCAAGGAAAATTGTTCTCCTGCATTTGATGACAACTGTCCTTTTCATTGTCAATAGATAGTCAATAGGGAGGTAGCTTGAAATCTCCGCACTGCCTGTTTGCTAAAATGCAAGGAGTGTGGAAAGACAAGCATGGTAAAATCAGCTACATGAGAAACGTGATTAACTGCCCAGACTTTTGGGAAAAAGTCTTCTTTGATTCATCAAGCTTTACTCGCAGGAGAATACAGTTAGGCTTAACTATCTA